TTTTAACGACATTGAAAATTATTTTTTTCTCAAAGTAAAATTAATAAAAATCCAATTAGCACTTAGCGCATGTTAGCTCAAGTCCAAATGGCATACGAAATGAAAAGAAATTCAAATTAGTGCTACAGTCGTCTGCATGCGTAATTAAGCACAAAACAATTGCAGCGACATTCTGAAATTACAAACCGAACACTTGTTTTATTTTTATGATTTTTGCTTCGCCATTCCTACGCTATAAACTATTTCATAGAATAATTGACCAGACGTATATACGTGCTTACCGTTATGGGGGAAACTAAATGTAAAGTGATCTCGTTTGCTGTGCATACATATCTCGCGATAATTGATCTCAATAAAAAAAGGCAATAAAACAAAGAAAACGAGTAAGAGAAAATTATATTCAGCTGTAGCCGAATCTTCTATATCCACTACTTTTACTTAAAAAAAAAAAAAAAAAAAAACCAAAACACGAAGAAAATGAGAATCCCTTACTGCATAATATTGGGAGGGGAGTTTTTCACTTGTTATTAGGCGATCATTACGATATCATCATCATCTGATGATCATTTATAAAATATACCTGGAATATACTGGGAAATGTACTTACATGTAAAAAGCAAAAAAAAAAAAAAAAAACACGAATTACACTCAGTCTATATTGCACGGTGGGCGAGTCCTTTGTCCGACTTGACTTCATTTCAATATCAAAATGATCCCAAGAACTTTGAATGCTTTTACTAAATTTGAGATCGACATCGTCTCATTTTTGTGATCAGAACAATGGCTTCCGCAAACGTTCCACGAACAGATAGACGGACAATGAAACAGCAATGAAAAATACATTGACTTCATGTCCTCTCTGAAGCGTTCGTGTGGACTGTCGCAAACGGTTTGACATAGCGAATACATCCCTTTCTACCGTGATGGGTACAGAAAAACTTTAAATGGTGTATGCAAAAGATTTTGATAAGCGGTCGTATATACCTATGTGTATATAGGGGTTTTTGGAAGAGGGGAAAGTGAGAGACTGCGTAATAATATTATTTATTAGATCTCTAGGGAAGCTTATCGTACCTAAGGCGCTTTAATTGAAAACTTTGTGGTTTTGTTCCCCCCAACAAAGGATATGTTCTAACAATTTCGGTTGATTTTCAATGTTCAAAAACATGTACAAATATATACAAAAAATGATAATAAAATGTTTGGAAGGAATTGGAAAAGCGTTCAATATTAAAATTGAAACTATATTTTGCTTTGTTGGAAAATAGTTCTACGCATCACTTTATTTGACGATTATATTTTGAGGAATAGCACAATCCCCTCGCAACGAACCTATCGTACCCTCTGTTGAAGAAAATGTGAAACATATTTGTTGTGGGGGGTTTTTTTTCTTGAGGGGGCTTTGAACAAAAAATATCCTAACATTGAATTAGTACGACGTTGCGTCAGTTTCTAATAAATCGTAGGAATAAATGCGTCTTGGCATTAACGAGGAAAGAAGCTTTGAACTGCTATCGAGCAATCGTTCTAAACACTGGCCGACCGATTATTAACAATCACATGCGATAGTCCTCTGCCCATTTTTGTGACGACGCTGTGTTGTCTTCGGGACGTAGCTGGAAGCTTTCCAGAAGACAATGATAAGTCCCTTTGCTTTTACCATTTGGACCTTTTTCGCGCATTCTCGTAGATTAGTTTGGTTTTTTTGCATTTGGCATGTGCCTCGAAAATCATTGATTTTGGTTCGTGGGCGATTAGTTAGTATTGCATACTGAGATCTTTTTTATGTTTATGAGTTGATCTTGCTGGGCTTTCATCAGAATGTTATTCACTTTTTGCGTCATAGATGTGAAGGTCGCTTTAAAACTAGGCATCGTAAACAATTTGAACTTAAAAAACGAAACGTTCCAGCGATTTTACGCGTATTTTATAGTGTTGGCGGCTCTAATTAGAGTTGTCTTGTTATGAAATGTTTCAATACTTTTTAGACAACGTTACGCATAAAAATTGACATTAATGATAGAATAGTGAACACAACTATCTGAATGCTGAAGGCAACACTTTTCTTAGTGTTTGTTATTTTTCTTTGATATATTGCTTTCCTGTTCTCTCTGTTAATCCTCAAAACATTAGTAGTAGTAGTAGTAGTAGTAGTAGTAGTTGTAGTGGAGTAACTGTTGTTCGTAATTTTAATGGGCTTGCCATAAAATATGTTGTCGTTCAAGTGCTGCTGGCAAGTGAGGCAGTGTGAAGAATATGAAACAAATACTAACAAAACTGCAAACATGTTGAAAGCTATTCTACATTCACTTCTGGTTTCGCTATTCATCTCACAATTGCAATGCAAATGAACTCTTGCTTCAACAATACATAAAAATTGATATTTAGCAAAAAAGGCAAAACAACAAAAACAAAAACAAAAAAAGAAACAAAACAAAAAACGCAAACAATTCAAGATAATCATAGTCTATTCTGTGTAAAAAAAAAAAAAGAAATAAATAAATAAACGAAGGGAACATATAATCTATACATGTATTATATATACGCGAAAGAAGCATAACGTGTAGAAAAGCTACTCAGAGTAATGTCCTCTTTAATGTTTTAAATCACGTATATATCGTTTGATGCATTCGCTGAAATACTCTGCGAATTTTAATTGTTTTCTTACGGTAAATATTTGCCATGCGATCGTTGCAAGTGTATAAGCGTGTATCTATGTTTGAGACTAACATTTTAGTTGTATTTAAACACTAATCGAATAACACATTACTGCTGTTATTATTATTATTATTATTATTATTATTATTATTATTATTATTATTTGGTTACTTTTTATAGTCATTGTAAAGTCGTTATTATTAGCGTCATCATCGACACCATTCGTTCATTCGTTCGGTCATTCAATCATCATATTATACTTTTTCCATTATTATTAGGTATTCTGAGCACAACTTGGCGTAAAACCGTAAATAGATCATAAAATGATCGTTAAAACTAATTTTACGATGTTAAACTTAAACAATTTGTTTTTTGTTGTAAACAATCAACTGAAATAAACTACACAAAATATAAAATCAAAATATAATTACGTTAAAAATTAATTTATATATGTGTAGAATGTATGGAGCCATTAACAAAAAAAAAAAAAAAAAAAAAAAAAAAAAAAAAGCAAAATTTAAAAATTCACATTTCTTTCCATTTGAAGCAAACTCTTCTTCTTCTTCTTTCTTCGTTAAAGCTTCAAAATAGCTGAAGCTGTTAACTCAATCGAGAAGCTTAGTACTTTCTAGACCGTTTTAGTCCCTAATACGCATAGTGTCTGCTCTAATCTTTCAAAATATGACTAATGCCAGAAGACATTATTTTCATCCGGACGTGTATGACAAGGAAAACGTATGTTAAATACCCATACGTAAAACATTTATGTATAAAAGTTTCAATTACCGCAGAGATCGCTTGTCTCTCCGAGACACTCTTGTTTATTACACATTACCTCCAATTTGGTGTGCGGTTGCTGCCTGCCTCTTGCATGAGTATTTAATGATCTTAATGTTCATTGTTTGGCCATTCGATCTCATATACATATATAACAGACGCATACACACACACCGAAACATGCGTAATGATGTTTAATATAAATTGAATAAAAAGTGTTGTGCGATGTGCTGTGTAGCCATTACGCTATAAAAACGTAGCGATAAAGTGGTCTTTTAGTCGATTATTGTGATTTATGAAGGCATAGATCATTACGGGTCATTCGCTTAGAAGATATTTTTTCTTCTTTAATATATTTTTATAATTTCGTGGTAAATAAATTGTAAAGAATCTTTCACGTTTAATTGCATCTATTTTATAATTTTAAAAATATGTGTGTGTGTGTTTTTTTCTTAGTTTTTCCTAATAAAATAGTGAGAAGTTTGTAAGTCCCTCTTGCACTTTTGGAAGTTCACTCCATACCTCGAAACGATGGAAAGGATAAAAGCTCGAGATTAACTTAAAATTGTCATTGTTTTTGCATGGCTCTAGCGCTTGTTACATTGATCATGTATGCGTATGAATTTGGCTCAATCAGGTATGACCGTATAAAAGTGCATTTTCATTCGCAATTGTTACGGAGATCAGGTAGATAGACAGAATAATTCAAATGCATTGGTATCAAAAGCGACGGACAGATAGTTGGGCAGCCAAGCAGACGGAGGAATGAATAAAAGGATGGATGGACAGTCTGAAAGTCAAATCTGTGGACAGGCAGGTTGAATGAATATGGAACAGAGGCAGGCAAGGAGTGATAAACGAGGAAGCAGACTATCTATGACTGAAAGATAAACTAAAAGAACGCTGTAATCACGTTCGAATAGATGTATAAACGATTTGAAGCAAGAAAGGCTGCCAAAACCAGCACAGCCAAATGCTTGCAATGGTGGACGATCATAGCTAAATTGAATCGGAATCTCTGCGATTAAGAGTTCTTGGCAAATTTTAAATCAAGAAAATGTTATAAAATTCGAATTTTAGTTAACTGAAACCATTTGCTAAACCCTGGGATAGCCTTAAACAATAGAATGGCATTTTTAAAAAAACAACGTGGTGCTAAACAAAATATGAAACGCTCACAATAAAAGTAGACATGCACATGACGGTCTAAGTGATCCTTTCAAAAGGGGTTCTGATTATGTTTGCACAAAGACGAGAAAGTTTCATGTTCATATTTTCAACCACAGCAGGTATGTGGACAAAAATTTCACAAATGTTATTCAAGGTTATTTTTTTTTTTTTAAGAAAAGGCAGTTACCTACTGGTAACTAAAGATATAAAAAAGGCTAATAAACATTTTTATCCTTTGACAAAAATTTCTTACTTCAGTAAGAAATAGTTTCATTGTTTTACGCCGGTCGCCGGTTTATATTATAAAATATTTTATGCTTGACTTAAAAATAATCAAACTTCAATGTCACAATATATGAAAAATTTAATTTAATGTTAAGTTAATATGCACTCACCATTAAAATCACCGCAGACTACACGCTCGAAGGGACTTCCCATCCAATCTGTAAGAAAAAAATAAGAAAAAAAAAATACAACTCGTTTAGGTTGCTTTGAAAAAAAAGGCTTCATATAAAAGTAACTAAGCATGCTAACGTGGCCTCTAACTAAACGCGCATGTGTTGTCCAAGAACTTCAAGGACACTTCATATGTTTAAAAATAAAAAAACCAAAGATCATTCGAAACATTACTATTAGTGCTGGAAACGCTGCACAAATTTCTTAAAAATTTCTTGAAACAACAATTCTAAACCAGACTCTATTCTCATCTCATTTTCTACGCAGATACTTTTTTATTTTTACCCATTTCTCATTAAGATTATTAAGTGCTTGGTAAGTATAATCAATGCCAGACTTAATAAAATATTGGATATATAAAATATATATACACATATATGTATACGTATATGTATAAAATTGTTTGAAACAGGTTCAAAATCGATGAATCTGCATATCGTTGAAATTATAAAAAAGCTAGAAAACCGCCGATGAGCTGAACCTCCGTTTACAAAGCACAATTGTCATCCCTATATTTCTCTTAAGGGGTAAACACCACCATATCTGACTAAAAAAAAGAGTTTCTTTTGTCATTTTTACACCCACTAAGAGGTATATTCATCTGTCGAAACGTTTGCAACAACCGCCACGAAGCTTTAGAGACCCCATAAATAACATATACATATTTCTGATCAGCATCGCACTCTGAATCGATGTAAGTATATGCGTCTGTCCGTCTATGTAATATCTGTTGTAAAGAAACATTCTCTAAAAGTGAAGCTATCGACTTCAAGTTTGCAAAAACACTGGGAATTCTTGCAGGCAGGTTGATACTGGCCAATACGGTCGAAGAATATGGCGACACTACCACTGCTTTCCGAAAGAAATAAAAAATTGTTTTTTGCCTCATTACAAACCAATTACAGCAAATAAATCTATAAAAACTTGAACGCATATTCTATGGGTGCGGTGCGGCTTACCTTAAAAAATCGGCGACGCCCACCCAATTGTGTAGTGGGTCATAATTTCGTTTGTTTTCCAAAGCCTTTATAACGCTCAGAAACTAACCCCCCGTTCTTGGCCAATTTTAAATTCGAAACGAACTTAACGATGTCCGTCTTTACGTCTATCCATCTGTCCGCTCGCACAACTGCGGAGTATTTGTCGTAAAAACTCCCCCGTTAACGAAAACGAAGATATCAGTTAGGAATTTGCGATCAAAGGACACTCTTACAACACCCACACATCTGTGTAACAAATATTGAGAATACTTTCGCTCGTTACTTATAAATGCAAACACGATATCATCCCTGCTTTTATTATTTTTTTTTTTAAGTGGACCACGCTCGCCTAATATTATGGAGTATGGAAATTTAGCTTTTGCGTTGTTTTTTTACTCTTTCTTGGGATAATGGTCGCGGCCGGATATAATTTTTTGATTTTTTTTTTTTTTTTTTTTGGTGAAAGGAAAGACCAGATTAATAATATTCGGGAATGCTTTTAAATAAACATAAACCCTTTTCAAAGACATTCCCTAGCGTACTGGATGAGCTAAAATTCGACAGATATTTTTGTTCAAGCATTTGATCAAAAGATGAGTTCGAAATTTTCAAGGAAATCATTTTTTGCGAGTATTGATAATTTAATGCGGATGGATGGATATTCGAAAGGGTTCTCTCAAATCAATAAAAAGAAATCTTCGTTCTAAAAAATGTATCGCGCTGTGAGCCCATAAGCTCGAATTGGTAAGTGTCAGCTAAGTGTCGGTTATTCTGGTCAGATTTGTTAATTGAATCCGAACCGTGGTGCGAAGTGTCAATTGTTTCTTTTTGCAAAACAATGCAACTAATCTTACTTTTTTAGCCTGGGCGTTCTCTTTTTTTTTTTTTTATGTGCCGTGCCCTTCTACGAATTTATGCGCTTTATCTCATTTTCTCTGCATTTAAATTATTTTATTTCCATTTATATCTCGTGGCTGTTCTCTGAACTTCTTGTTTTTTGTTGTTCGTTTTATCTCTCCGGGATCCTAGTTTAGGTGATTTTCTGTCTTTCTCTTCGCACTTGATAGTTAAACTAAATTAATGCTGTGGACGTAACATTCCGCTCATGGAATGGCTGGATATTGCGAAACTCTATCTATTTATGATTTGTGCGCTTTTCGCGTCCGGGGGCACACGTGCTGAGCTTTCAAATTCATTTTCTTTTCCTTTTGGTTTTTTTCATATTCGTTGTGTTATTGTCATGCTGGTGGCTAAAATCTTATATACATTTGTTGTCCATTCAAACTTGGCGCATCGTGAAAGCATTTTACAGATAATTTAAAAATTTTGCAAAAACCGTCTTAAAAAAAAAAGAAAAAATTGTGCAAAAGAGAGAAAAGGAATTAAAATGCACTAATTTAACTGAGTTTGCAATTTTTTTTCCTAAAGATAACGTTTTCCATCCAAGTTGCATTAAGAAAGACGCAGTAGTCGTTCAGCGTCATGGAACATAGAGCAAAAATTAATGTTTGTTTGTTTCCTTTAAAAATTCCTTCGTGACGCCACATTTGATTTCACTAGAGTCGTCAATGCAGTTCGATGAGAACATCAATGTCAACTCCAACGTGAATAACAACTTTATCTATTGCTACTGGATTTGGCAGACGTTTCATCTAATAGTAGAAGCTAAACGGAAGACAGAATTGTCTTTAGTAGTTCTAGATGCACAACGATATGCGTATCAAATTCAAAACGCAGAACTTACAACAACTGAGCTGAGTATATTCATCCAAATGTCGAGTGAAAGAGGCAAAGAGAGAAATGAAACATCTTTTGCAAATGAGTTTATCACCCGTCAGTCAAGTGTTTTGTTTCTCTGGCAAACGGTCAATGCAGTCTTTCTTGTTTTCTATTTTCCTTTCTTTGCTTTTTGCTTTTTTGTATTCGCTTACGTTTTAATGCGGTGACAACAATTTGAAACAGAACCAACTACTGTTACTATTAGTACAGAAAACTTACTCATCTCATCTCGTCTCACCCATGCACAACAACGTTGCTAATAAATTCATATTCTTCGTAAATATGCAAAAAAATATATATATGTATATATATATTTATATGTATGTATATTAGGTCAGGTAAAACGACTTTACGCTTTTTTCCGCGGTTTCGAGCTGATTTTTGTAGTCTGCTGTTTTCAGATGATTCCAAACCATCGGGTGGTTGATGCTTAGCGCCTCCACTATTCGTGATAGCTTGCCTGCCGATCTAGTTCCATCAGTTGCAAAATTTTATCGACTCTTCGGCCAGAGCGAGATGCATCTTTGACATTGAAATTTCCGGAACAGCATTCTTTCTGCACTCTTGACAAAATTTGCAGCGTTTTTAACGTTTCTATAGTTAAAAATGCGTCACATAGTGTATTTCTTCAGATATATCGTTCATTTTCAAATCGATATAACTTGTTACTCGCATGTTCGTTTGAGACAATCAGATGAGTGTTGCCCGATGTATGGGCATCCTGCAGAAAAAACCGCAAAATCTTTTTATATGACGCAATATATATATAATCATGCGCACACATTCGCTCATGCATATTTGTGTATGAGTTCATATTATCATACACACGCCTGGATACATATGCATTTTAGATATGTCATGTATTATTTCATATCATTTGGTCTCTTTTTATCTCTTCATTGCTCCATTTTATGAATAGTTTCATTTCGTTTTCATCTGCCGTTCACTGAATGCAATGCATGACTGATATTTATGTTAATTGAATTGTAAATAATGCAAACGCCATCGTTAGATGACAACGTTTTTAATTAAGCATAATGATAATGCCAGTAAGTTAGCTCTCGCATACATATTTGTGTACACAGACACCAGTGTAGCAGATAATAACATAAATATATCGTAAATTATTATTACATGAGATTATCAAATTGAAAATACTTCAATATGACAATAAAATCAAAAATGGCCAGCCAAAGGAGTGACTGCCTCAGAATGATTAACTGAAAATGACTAATTTTTACTGCTACTGCTACTGCTATTGCTATCGTTGCTACGCATATAAATCTTAAGCTTATTCAATGCCAAGAATGCAATAAATAGGCCATCAAAACGAGTCTAGCGAACGAAATGGTGCACAACTTCAATAAGATGCAAAGCGTGCAGTAAATCTTTTATTCTATTTGCCTGATTTCACGAATAATTCATTGACCAAAAATCTTACACAACAAAATAGAATACTAAACCAAGAGAGAAGGTTGGGCACATTAATCGTTTTTGGTTAGTTGCGACATACATATGGCAAGTAAAAGGTCATAACTTAAGCTTCCACTTTTTCTTCAATTTATGTTTGGGACAATATTCATGTACATACAACAGCCGCATGGGTACGGCAGGTAATGCGTTGAATGGCTGTTGAGCACTTTTTGATTTATCCGCCTTTCAAGTTACAAATTATTATTGCAATTGCTTTTTTTACGAACCATCATCGCGCCCTATAGAAGCTTCAATGTTAACATTGTGGGAATCAGCTCGAAAAATATATGCAGAGGCAAAGCGATAGAGAGAGAGAGAGAGAGAAATCTATAGATCTAATATTTTTTTTCGAAAATTTATTAGAAGCAGAATAGTTTTCCTCTGCCAATTACCAGATCAAAAAGTGCTAATTATTATAAATTAAGGGGTAAAGAGAGAAGAATGCAATATTCGCCACAAGAGGAATAAAGGCTCCTTGGCTGCTTGCTTCCTTCCCGCAAGCGTGGCAGCACGCTTGGCCGAGCAGGTAAGAATCGCGGCTATCAAGTCACTACCGCGGTTCCAAATCTCATTAACGGTAGACTTTACACTGATCGCAACTGTAACTGATTCGGCTCGACGCCACTACGCTGAGGTCGCCCTCTATTTCTTTCTCTTTCATCACTTCTTTCTGACCCTCACTGGATTAGACGGAAAACCACAAAATATGTATACAACAACTGTAAGCAACGAAGAACTGTAAGTAAGAACTAACAGATGAAGAACAAATCGAACGATTAACCAAAGATGGAATTCGCTTGCAAAGGATCTTCAACTCTTCTTAAGTAACTTATCTCATCTCTCGTCTCTTCACAGTGCTTTCCTATTTATCTAAGATATAATTGAATTATTGTGATTTGTACTCCCGAACTCCTTAAATCATATAAAATTTAAATCAGTTTGGCATGATTTTTTTTCTTTTTTTTTACTTAATATTAATTAAAATATTCCATAACGTATGTGTAATATTGTGGACGTGTAGGCCGCGACAGCTGACTTTGTTAATAGATGAATAACAGTTTCCAAATTAAATAAGCAATAATGATAAATAAAATGGGAGAAAAGTAAATTTGTGTTCGCATTTATTTATGAACATTTTAGCGTTGATTTATTGAATGTTGTTTTGTTTATTCCGATGAGGTTGTTATTTATTTTAATAACGTGATTGTATCTGTTTTTGCATATATAAAAATGTCTTCTGGTATATATCTTTTATACGTACATATCATCAAAGATTTTGCGAGAACTCTTGTTAACCTAACATAATAGTAATAATAATGCGTCAAATTTTTGTCAAATGCTTCTGCTTGTTAGATCTTATTTTCTTCGTTTCTTCTGTTCAACCATAGCATGAATATATTAACCTAGCAGTGTAACCAAGTACAATATTTTGATCCATTTCAACTTTTGATCTTCAAGAAAGTTGTTATTCCGGAAATAATATTCCAACATTTGTTTAGTAACTTTTACTTATACGTAAAGACCTTTAAATATCTATAACCAATATCTGCTATTTCTACCAAAAGGGATCGTTTCGATTCCCAAATTTCCTGTGGACTTTCCACAGTCGTAAAAATGAAGGGTAAGAAGATGACATTTGGCAGGAGGATTCCTTGGTTCATCAAGAGTCCAATGTTAAAAAAAAAGGGCAGCGAATGTCTGCATACAAGCCCATCGTAAGTGAGAAACGCAAACAATCTCGAAAACAACGATAATTTTTTGTATCTTGCCTAACCTGTTTTCGAAACGTTTGTGAAATCCACTTGCAGGTTTGATTTAAAACGGTCCCAATAGAGTTGCCGATACGATCACCAATAATATCCCTATTAATCCCAACTTATTTCCAATTTATACGTAATGCCACAAAGAGCTTGCTAATGCGCGTTAAAGTAGATTGGAAATAAATTGGGATTCAAATTTTATCGTCAATTTTGGACCTACTGGTAAAACAATCGGGAGCGTTTAGAAAACGTGAGAGTTACGTATTTTTGGTTAGGTCTTCACGGGATGAAAAGTTATATGGGTGAAAATATGATCAGCTTTCTGGTGTTTTCTCGGATTTGTTCCAGCTTCCTTTGCATTGTGGAGGTGCAGGTACATATATCAAAACTATTTTATAGCCATGCATGTCTAATCGACTAAGGAAGGTTTCTATCAAATTTCAGCCTCTTATCGCCATATTGGCGATGGTAGAGGTTCCACAAAAAGATGAAATCAATATGACCCCTTTTGGTGAAATTGTATGCGAAACGTTGTTATCCCTAGTATTAATAAAAAATTTCAAATTTGTTAAGGATATTTCGCATTTTCTTGCTGGGACTGACCTAATTTGCGTTTGAGTTTAAAGAGAAAATTCTGATAACTTTGAAGACTTGTATTTATGAATCCAAATCAACCCCAAAAAAAAAAAAGCAATGCAGATAAGTTGCGTCTATGTATAAGGCCGTAAGAGAGTGCGTTTGACAAAAAGTCGGCGAGATTGTATGGTTCAAAGCTTATACGATTTTTTCCTCTGCAGCAAATGAATTATGTATCGCATAGCATAATTATCTTATGGCATCGTCTCTCGTGTTATCTACCTACTAATTAGTTAACAATTATTAGCTTTTGCGAAGACTTAAGAAGCTTAAGATTAAGATTCATTTGATGACTAAGAAAGTTGTGGGACCGTTTTGAGATGACTCAGGACTTTAAGCTTCGTTAAGCGTTCTTTTCATTCATCCATCCACTACTTTTTATACATCGATCGATCTTCACTCTGAACCCCTAAATGAATCTACCGAATATTTCGATTAACTCTTACGTTAATATCTGCCATAGCTTGTAAATTATGGGTAATAACATGCCCAAGTATTATTCTTGTAGACTTTCTTCACTTCTTAGATATTATAGGCGATCATTTTTACAATTAAGTGTTAGACCATCCATAGTGTGCAATATTGCAGGTTAAAAAGCAAACCAATGACATTACGAAGCAATTCGCTGCTTATGATCATAAGCCAAGTAGCCATTATAGTAGTAACAACGGTTCGAAAATTAGATGACCAAGAGTACAGAGAAAGGCATACAAACGTGATGAAATCGCCTCGAAATCTTACGTTGATTAATGATAAAAAGATGAAGAAAAAATTTGTCCTGATAGTCATAGCTGGTAGCAGGTAGACTAGAGAACTTTACCTCACTATATATTTACTAGAAACAAATTGAAAATTATTCGGATATTTTCACGAACAAATCCCACACGGACTCGATTGATTCGCAATAGATCTCTAATTTAATTAGATGATGGCTATTAACTGTTTTACATAGTTTTTAAACAGAAGCAAAAAAAATTTGAATATCAATCTCATATGTGCCAAGGCATTGCCAACAAACGGAGAGAAGTTGCTGTACTTTTGCTTAGAAGCGCGTAAGAAGAAAAGCCGCGGTTTTGTCATGTGCACAGAGGCATAAGTAACTTCTATTCTCAATTGCGATAAGTCGGCCTCTTTCTTGATTCTTCATAGGGTCATAACATGCGTATCTACAAATTTAAATCGATACCTATGCGTACGTACAAACATCTTCTTTTCTTTCTTGTCTCAGTGTTCCCTGCTAGTGTTGACTTCTTGACTTTTCATAATTGCTTGAGCTTTTTTTTTTTCTTTTATTTATATGCTTACACAAGTAATGCTTACGTACGTATGCATGAGAGACCACAGAATTCAAAGTTCAATGACTTTGACCGTATGTTGCGTGCGTGTGTGTGTGTGTGCAGCGTAATCTTTAGATTGTATTGTATATTACTTGTAAACGAATTTATATTTTTAATAATAATTTCGGTGTTAGAAAAGAACCTACGACAACAATACTTTTAATTATATGATAAAGCGGCTAACGCAGGCACATGTATGCGTAAATAAAATTCAATTTTTAGAGAACACACTACATGAGAGAGGAAAAATTCTTTGGAAGATTACAAGCGATGTACATGCAATGTTTTGACTCACTCACCTGTTAACGTCATCCATGGGTATCGTGGTAGATCGGCAATGCTTTGGCCGGCTCCACCGGTAGGAACTACACCCGACGACGGCTGAGTGCAAGCATTTCCCAATGAGTCAACACCTATTGCTCCGGCCGAAGCCGCCGACACAGCAGAAGCAGCTGCTGCATGTTGATAGAATTGCGCGAAACTGGCAGAGGCCGATGCAGGTACACTCATCGATTGGTAGCTGTTCATGACACTGTCAGTGTACCTGCTAAATTACATCAAAGAAATTAGAAGAAAGAACATTTAGCCATAACATAACCAAGTCGCTTCGCTTAAATGAACCAGAAAACCACACGAACACCTAACAGTCTTTACAAAACTTGTTATATATATGTGTGTTTGGGGTTTTTTGTTTTTCTTTTCTTTGCTATGCAAATAGCTGCAAGGTCGAAAGTATTACTAAAGTTTCAATTGTCCGTAACACTGGCCGTATCGTCATAATGAAATATGTGGCTAGTTTGACATTACTTTTGATTCGCCAGTACATTTTCTTGCTGCTGCGATGGTGGATGTAGTGTTGACTTCTTATTAGTCAAATTAGCTGAGCGTTTATTCAGCTCAGCATGATTACTTCAATTTTGTACGACTTGCAAAAGGATTTACATAAACAAATATTAGCATCTTGTTCTTGTGAAAGTTTTTGCTTTTTGGAAGATTAAGACGGACATCTGTCTAGCGCTATGACTTTGATGGAGGATGAATGATGTCTTCATTAAAATTCTAGGGTTATTTATTTGCATGAGCAGTTGATTTAGCGAATTTTTTAATTTTTTGTTTATATAATTTAAAAAAATCCGCCCACTCACCTGCATGATTTGTCTTCCAGACCGGAAAAGCCCGGCATGCCCGATAGACCGCCATGCGATGTAGGATGATTTGACACATACGGATACATTTTGTTTGTGGGTATAGCAAAAGTTGAAGAAGCAGCAGCGGCGGCGGCAGCTGCTGCGGCGGCCACCGAACTTGCAGCACTAGCGGCAGCAGCCGATGATGAGGGCGAATGATCGTTTAAACTGCGATGCAAGGAGGACGATGCCGATGGTGACGGCGAACAACTGCTATCGCCTGCTTGTGAATTATTAGCCGAAGGTGGTGTAAGTAATAATTGTTGCTGTTGTATTGAATTCCCGTTACTTTGTTGCTGTGAAGTAACAGCTGCAGCGGCGGCAGCTAATTTATTAATATGTAATTGCTGTTGCTGCTGTTGCAGGTGTAAAGCTGCTGTTAAAGAATATTGATGATGTTGACTAGAACTGAAATGCGATGACTGATGATGGTGTTGCTGCGTTTGATGCTGCTGACTAAGTCCGCCAAACGCTGACGATGACGAGGGCGAAGATGATGACACTGGCGAATGTGAAGACTGACTTAAACTTAAGTGACTGCTACTATTCAATTGGCCGGCATTAGTGCTGGGCGATAATAATGACGACGACGAAACGCTGACGTGATCGTTTCCCGAACTAGTTGACAACAAATTATGACCGCTATTCGTGCTGTGATTGCTGCTCGGATTATTGGTAACTGCCGGTACTGAGGACGATGCGGCTGCAACGGCTAAGGCGGCGGCAACAGCTGCTGATGATGAATTTTGTGGTGTTGTAGTTAAATGTGAACTTATAAATGGTTGAAACTGTGGATACTTTGGTAGCATACTATCGAAAACAAATTTTGACATTGCACATAGTTTTTTCGCTATTGTGTTACGTTTCAAAATGACTCTTACAAACGCGACAAAAGGAGAGCGATAGCCAAAGGACAGATTGACGAAAATGCCGAGAAGTATGTCTCCTTTGCTACTTTCAAAATGTGGTTACATAAAATCGTTATTTGTCATGTTAAGAAAATATTCTCCTTGAATAAAACCTTCATCTTTTCGTATCTAACTTCAAGTGACAAAACAACAAAGTTTTTTTTTCTATCCTAAATGAATTTTAGTTATGCCAATTAGCGATTGAGCAATTTGAGATATACACGTACTGCAGATGGTAGGTTATATTCAAAAAAGTTCATTTGAAATTTCAATTTCCCTGAAAATGCTTCCTAAGCTAATCTAAGGCAGATTACGTACATTTTCGAACTTGTTCTGTGGCGTTCAACAATCTGGTGCTACTGTCTCGTTTTCTATCTCATCTTTTCTTTTCATAGAATAAAATGCATGTCTCGAAAACGTTTGCCCTGAATACTTAAAGGAAAAAAAAACGAGCAAGAACATTATATTCAGTTGTGAGCAAATCTCTTATGCCCATCAGCGCTATCCCAAAAAAGGCAAGAAAAAAACTAAATTTGCATGCTCTATAACAAGCAGGAGGCGTGACGGATGTTCTCTATTTTCAAAATAAAAAAGTTTTTTTCGCGTAGGCGGGTGGGCGTTGTACCCAAGCCCTTGGAAAAGCTTCAATCATTTCCAAGTTTTGCTACACAGTTGCGCAGACAGAAAGATGGACCGACGAAGAGAGGGACATGTTTAGGTGCATTCCAATGGCGGTTTCGAAGCTTGTTTCTTGTCAAGCGTCGCTCATAGAATATGCATTCAAATTTTTGTACATTCATTTGTTATAGTATATGAGCAATGATCAAAAAACTAATTTTTTATTCCTCTTCAAGAACAGAAAGGTTCGCAGTTTACGTTGCGCTGTGGGCGCAGGCAGTAGGAGCCTGCGTACAAGAACTTCCAATATTTTTGGCGAATTTGAAGTTGATAGCTCCTTTTTTGCGGTCAAGAGAATGTTTACAACAGACATTACATAGACGTACAGATACACTGACAGACAGACGGACATGCTTAAATCGATTCAGAATTTGATGCTGAGCAAGAATATATATACTTTGTGGGGTCTCTGATGCTTTCTTCTGGACGTGGCGAATGTTTTGACAAAATGACTACAACCGTCATCTTCCGGTTGGGGCGTACAAGAGCTGTATAAACAAAGCAAGATAACTGTAACTTGATAGTAAGAGAAAATAATTTCTACTTAAGAGTCTCTCCACATTACATACCTAACTTATCAAATTCTCAAAAGAAAATTACTCAACAAATGTATAGAGCGTTCCTTTCCAGAGTTCCGAGTTTAAAGACTCGCTATCCTAACTGCAATCGACAGTGATTTCTAACCATCTGAACAAGTCGAAAATTTAAGGGTGTTCTCTGAGAAATTTGGTGCCCACTGTAACGCAACAATTCAACATTTATACTTTCAATCGTCTGACTATCCAACTCTGGACTTTCAAGTATTTACGTTTCACTTACGCTGAGTGCTTTATGCATTAATGTGAAATCGTGTGAACCTAATTTAATTTTAGACCAAAGAATAGAAATAATTTGCTTTATGTGGTTTTTCCGCCCGTTTTCTAAGAGTTGTTGCTTTACAATCCCAGCTTAGCAATATAAAAGAGAAAAAGAGAGAGAGAGAGGAAAAAAAATGCCAAGAGATGCTAAATAATCAACTCAGTCTTGACGTCTTTTGAAAGTCCACCCATTCCTTAGCCCGTTCGTTGTTAGCGCAGTCCAAATTCCCGACAATGGGGACAAACACCTGGAGATTGAAACATATATGTATATTCTTGTTTCAAATGCGAATACAAAGACTGTAATGTGAACATCGTCCGAGATCCGTTTGGAAAAAATTTTTATCTTTTTATTTTTAGACACATAAACCAGCATTGACAAGTACTACGAAGCGAATTGAAATTGATTTACATTTTTAAGAGGAACGTAAGAAAACGCGATTACTTAATGAACCAAAATTGATTAGATAAGCCATTTGGCCTATATATGTCAGTTTTTCCGCACTCCGTAGGAAATCTAACATCGCGGCTTGCGCAAAACGACCCGTCCATTTTGTCTCTCCATCTATATATATACAGAAGGCTACGCTTTCTCATAAGCAGCCGGAAATTTTCCTATGCTAGCAGTCGCGTAAAGTCTTCGGTCATGCATCGAAATGGCCTTTTAAGCATGAAGTAATCATTGCTATGGACCCTGGCTTATTTCCCTGAATAGTTCAAATTTTTTAAATATTTTCTAAAAATTAAAGCAAAAAATTCAAAAGGTATTTTAAAAACATTTTCGCATTTACATAATCTAAAATTTTTTCTGGCATTGTTACGTTTGAAGCAGTGTAAGGAAATTTTTTATGTATAAGTAAAGGATCCCCTTGAAACTTGATGATCAATTTCGTGGTATTCCGAGTACAAGTATTTAATTTAATGTTAGAGGAAAAGACTTTTCTCCCTCTCTCTCTCTCTCTCCCTCTCTCTCTCCAAAAAAGAATTCGTTTTTTCGCAAATATTCTGAATCATAAGAAGAACTGACTTGTTTTTGTTAACGTGAAAGCGAACCGAATGTTATGTAAAATGTTACGTTTAAGGGAAAGTTGATGCGCCCCAACTAATAATGCGATAAATTGAAACGCTTTGGATAACTTTTGCTTTTCTGCATTGAAGTTTTAATTGATGCTGATAAGAACTTGTGCCACAACTCTATTTATAGAGGTCTGCTTCTGAATTATAGATAAAATACGATCTCGTCATCTGGATTAAGAAAACTTGAGCTCGAATCTAACATTTCTTGTCAATTTTTGAGTTTATAAAGATATCAATAAGAGGTGATCTCTGGAGAAACAAACAAAGGGTAGGTATACAATACTAAATCGACACACGATCTCATTAATTAAATAATGGATGTAAACTCATTTACTCGAAGAGTAAGAGTAAGAGTAAGATTTACTCTAATATTTATATGAAATGTTGAATTTTTGATCTTCTTCGGGCTTAATGCGTCTTAATTAATTTATAGCTTTTTGTAGCACGAGCATGTTGCTGCGTGCTTTAAATGGAAGGACAAAACTAACATGCCCTTATTCTTCCATCTTTACTTTAAGAGAAAGACACCTTTTCCGGAAAAGTCTTAGAATTTTTGGCTTCCATCAGAAAAGAATAAGTAAGGAGGTTATTTCGAGCAACTTCTTCAGTTCTAGGATTGTAAGAGAGGGTAAAGAAGGACAATTCGGAAATAAAAGGCATAAAGTTTACTTTATATACCCGGGCTTTACCTGCACTTTGGGTTCTGCCATGCAATGCAATGAATTTTTTTTGTGATTTTTGGTGGTCTACTCCCGCTTTTTCTCTCTCTCTCTTTTTCTCTTCCGTTTTGGTTTCTTTCCTGTGCTGTGTAACTTTTTTAAGGAAACTTTGTTGTTCAGCCCTAAAGATGACAAATTAATTATGAGGAAAACCTCGTTTTTAGATCAAGTCATGATCGCAATGTCATACACGCATGTCATTATAGTAAAACCACATTTTGAATAGATTATGGATAATGGATAATTAATGTTAAATTAAAACAAAGCAAAAAAGAGTTAGTGTTCGTTCAACTTTACTACGAGAACTAAGGTAAGAGCGAAATAGAAAAATAAAAACGAAATTTTTGTCTACATAGGAGAGTTAGGCGTGTTAGTCTTCTAAAAGTTGTCCTATTGTGTTGTTGTTAGTCTTTATTTTTAAAAATAATAAAAATATTTAGTTTATATGTACCTTGTATATGACTGTTGGTATTTTTTAACGAAATTTGTTAAAAGAAATTAACAATAACGTAAAACAACCCTTTTTTTGCTTGTTTTTTTTTTTTTTGTTTTTTTTACAGCAAAACGGCCTGGATATATGGTGCAAGGGGTGATGGGTCAATGGATGATTTTTGAAATTTTTCTTTATATTCATAAAAGTAAATATGAAATGAATTGGATTTGAGCGAAACCACCTTCGCGGTTGATAAGTGTACGCTATCGAAATATGCACTATTTACCGACGGCAGAACTGAAAGACGGATAATTTGTTTTTTTTTTTTGTGTTTTTTTATTTTTATTGTATTTTCATTTTTGTTTTTGTTTTCATAACTTTTACTTATTTCTTTTATTTATTAATTGCAGTGAAATGCAGTTAAATGTATTCCAAACACTTTGTTAACTATATTATTATGTGTTAGGTATAAACCTAAATATATATGCACACGCACATACTAACGTACTAGAATGCATTGTATAATGTTTCGAAGCGGAGAATTTTTCGCTTTAACGGGTATGACACACGCGCTAAGAGTCGTAAAATATTTTTGGGTTTATTTTAAAAGTAATAAAATGAAGTTTTCCTCTTTTTGTTTTTGTTTTTGTCTTTTTTTATTTTTGGCTTAAACCTCACACCCTCGTATGGCATCTAAACAACAATTTATACATTATTCTTTGTTTTTTTTTTTATATGATTTTCAATTGTTTTTGTTGTGATTGTCGTCGGGGAACGTTTTATTGAGTATTAGACGCTTAATTTACGGGTTCGAAATTTTGTGCAATAAAACTTCCAAACTAACTCGAAAGCTACCGAG